GCGACTGATCTGCCTCACCCGGAAAGAGCACAATGATGGTGCCAACTTGGGCCAGTGAAGCAACGTCCTCCGCAACTAGACTGAAGAACAAGACGACAGCAACTTGTCTGTTCCCCTTCCCCCAATTCCCCAGTGCTGTTTCCATCCCCCCAATTCCCCAATAAAAAAAAAAATCTTAAAAAAAAAAAAATACCATGCCCTAATGATAATGGAATAGTAGCCAAATTGGTACCTTCTTACAATGTTGGTGGCCATAGAGATTAGGATAATGTTTTCAGGATCAGTTGGGTCTCGGATCAAGAATAACTCATCAGAACTAGAACCTTAAGTGAAATAGCAAAATATTTTCCTATTGCTATCAAGTAGCCTAAAATATACTATCTTACTTTATTTAATGACTGCGTTGATGACATTTATCTGTGAGCAGTGTACGGGAAAAATGATTTGTACACTCTCCTTCAAAAAAAAACATTCAAAATCTTTATTATTTTAAAAATAAAGCTCCATGCTATATTCTATAGCTCATTAGTACTAAAAGGATCATCAAATATTAAATACTTCTGTGTCGTTTTCATTCAATCTTGTGGTGAACCTAAAACTAGTCTAAAAATTAGTCTATTATAAAAAATATATAAATAAATAAATAAAGACTAAAGAGCAGTGAGATTTTGCATTGACATAGCTGTCATGTTTGTAGTGAAGAAAATGTGTACAAAAACCTCATTTTAATACATGCTATGTGAAGCAAATGGGGTTCATTGGCTGTCTATTTCTGATCACACAACATGTAACCAGGAAACCATTTTTTTTTTAGCTCATTCAACAGAAAGGAGTAGATTGTACAGTACAATCATTGATGACAAATTCATATTAAATTTCTTTTGTTCTCCAAGTTTCCACTTGATACTTATAAGTTTCACAAACATGGCAATGATAAAGGAAATCTTAAAATAATTAAATTCACTCATATAACACAACAGTATTTATAACTTTTGGGGCTACAGTAATGTGTCCGTGGGTGTTTTTAACAAAATCGTAACCAAAGCTCTTGTGATTTTTAAAACTTTACACAATAAACTATTTTCTACCAGTAATAGTCTATATTTATTTTTAGTGCTCATAAATATACCAAAAACTCTTTCATCACATCCCATAATTTGGAATTTAGACTTTTGCTTTTGCATTTTTGTTTTGTTATCATTGTTTATCCCTTTCACCCCCAGTTATAAGTATCTCTATAGTAAACATTTTGGTAACTAGAGAAACTTGACAGCAAGATCCTCTGTTTCTACCACAGGTGGGTGAGTAGAGAGCAACTTCCAAGAATATCCCTTTGGCCAAGAACTATGAGCCCTATAATCTCTAAAATCACAAACACTGACATGGGCCCTCAAAAAGTTTAGTTCTGATACTATTTCCGGAGTGTAGCAAAAGTAAATTAACGCGATGAGAATTTCTTATGAACCCTCTGACTACATCAAATTTAATTCCTACCTCTGACTTATCACTTCTTTTACAACAAAACATTTATGGCATGGAAAACAAATGCATATTTATAAGATAGGTATGCACTATTTTATTGTTAAAATTTTTATTATGAATATGAAAAATATCTTTAAAATAATGATCCAATACTAAATCTTACACAAATAGCCTACCTAGGTAGTAAAAAATAACAGTAGAAAGGGAGTTTACCTACACTTTCTTCCTTCAGAGCTCCGAATCTTTTATGCCTTCTGAGAGGAGTCTGAGAATTAGATAACTAAGATAAAAACTGAGTATATGGCTTTAAGGTGAATTATTTCTCAGTAGCAAGACAAAAGCTTGAGTCTTCTCAATTCACTCTTGCTATCTAAAATCTATATATACTACACAGTTTTGAAGGCAAGAACTTTTGATTAAATAAATGGACAGGGACACAAAAATATTTCTATGTGTACTGAACTCAGTTTGAACTTATGAAACTGAATTGTTTCTACAGTCTCTCTCCTACAAAAGGATAACTGTTACATAGAATAGTATAAGGTTTTCAGTTGTTTATTTGTATTATGTATAAATACTGACGATATTAGAGAAAACAATATTCTGGGAGCTTATTTCTGAAAAGGTAACCACATATCCCCTTTTTGAGCACCGGTTTGTCCTGTTTTAAGAATTAAAGAAAAATGGAGATAATGCCTTACAGAAAAAGCAGGCTGTGAAAAACAATAAAGCTGCTCCAGTGTGCTAATTTATACAGACTGAGATCTAAATTCAGGACCCTAGAGTAAGTTCTCCATTTCTTGCTTACAAGCATTTTAAAGGCTATGTAGCTGTTTCTGGAGCAAAGGTACTTCCCAATATCCACCAAGCCAAAAAGGGACTATATATGGCTAAAGCTGCAAAATTTAAAAAGCAATTTTAATGCTTGGACTACAGCTACAATAAAACGAGACCACTTCAGAGCCACTTCAGAGCAAAGAAAAAGATAACAGAATGGCAAAGGATATTTTAATGGGTCCTGACATTTTTTCTGAGAAACAATGCATCATTCTAGCATCCTTATATTAGCCCAAAGTTAAGTATATTTCATCAACAAAAGTAGAAATGATTCCCCCAGGCATGTGGACTTGTCCAGTAAAAGAACCTCACCTTGGATATATTCCAAAAGAGGCTCTCAATTGCTCTGCCATCCAAATATAGTAAGATACCCCACGCCCCGCAAGCTGCATCTCTGATCATAGCAACATGCAACCAACTTTTGCTGTGAAGTTAGGGGATTGGTATACAAATAAGTATGTATAACTATCTACTCAATTTTAAAAATGCAAATGTTAACACATATGCATTATAATCTTAGCAACGAGTAGCAAAAACTTAAAAGTCTCAATCTTAAATTAACTATAATATACATTGGTATTATAAAACTACCCTCCATTTTGAACAATTAAACTACAGATTACTAACTAAAAGTAGGAAACCATGAATAGTCCTTTGTGACTATAGCACAACTACCACAGCATACTCAGATATAAAGGCTATTTTAAAAGATTGTATCTAAAAAACACATCTCCAGAGAAATTTATGATAGATGTCTCTTACCTCATAAATGTTGGGGTGCCACATTTTGGTCAAGAATCTGAAGGTAGGTGGTGAATATGGGTAGTCAATAGGAAATTTAATATGCGCCTGAAAAGAAAAAACACGAAATGCTAATAAATGAGATTACAGATTATGCAGCTGCGTAACAGTATTACACCACAATGAAATGGAACTCCTTTCTATAGACTCGGGATTAAAAAAACTCCTATATATTTTGTTAGCCCCAATGCCAGGGTTATAATTATCATGTTCTTGCAGCATCTCTTCAAATATTTATAAGAGTTTATGCTAAATCACCAAAACTCAATAGCTATATAATTTTTAATTGAACTCACATGAATGAAAACAGTAATATGGTGTGTCACATTAGTTAAATATTACATTTTATTTTTATAAGAA